AAGTTCGAAGTTGGGTGGGGGAGGATTAATCCCTCTTTAACTCTTCTCCTTCCCACTCTCAATTCTGAACCCCAGCGGATATGTTTCCCCGGGTTTCCTAGTGAATAGGAGCATAGGAGCCGCCCTGTCCAATAAAGATTAAATTAAGTAGAAGAATCCCAGCCGCTGGATATTTGGAAGCTCCGGTGGGGCGTCAAACTGACGTTTAACACATTTTTTCCACTCACTGTGCACAAATCCTGGACCTGTTGGGCTTAACTTTAGAAAGGAAGGAAGAAAAAAAATATATAAGAAAGGAAGAAGGAAAAATAATCAAAGAAAGTCATAGAGAAACCCCACTTTCAAGGGGGAAGTGGCTTTAAACTCAGAGTGGCTGAGGCAGAGGCTGGCCTTCCTGACCTTTCCTGTCATTTCTTTCTGAGAACCACTCCCAGAGTTGGAGCCGGTCCCCAACCACCCCCCAGCCCCCAGGGCTCAGGATTTTTCTGTTTTATCGGTCTGATTCTATGTTTATTCCTTAGGGACAGTGTGGTGGCCCTGGATCATGACCAGATGTGCATGCAAGGGGAGAGTTGAGAACCCAGTCGCTTCATCTGTGGTGACAATTTTTATTTTCTTAAATAAAGGTTTTGGTAGCATGAACTGAGCAGCTTTCTCCGGTTACTGTCTGGCAGGAGAAACAATGGTTTTCTCCGTAGGCTTTCAGCCGCTGGACAACTAACCTTGAAGCTGAGGCCTGGGGGCCATCCTGGCCCCAAAATATCAGCAGCTCACTCCCCCCACCAACTCTTCTAGTACCTGGGCCCAGTCCAGAGGGGCAAAAGGCAAGTCCCTTCGTGGCAAAGGCTTGTCCATGCAAACACAACACTGAATAAATTAACCTCAAACCAGCTAGTTGGGGTGTAGTAGTTTAGCAGGACTAATTGCAGACAATGGAGCTGAAATGACTTTTCCAATTAGCTGCTGGTTGGAGTTTAGTTGGAGGAACTGTCAGCTCCAACGATGGGTAATTGCTTTATTGCTCACAAAACTATCATCTATTTAGAACATATGTGCTAATTACTTTGGATGGGCGTCGAAAAAGAGACCATAAATCTAATAGCACTTAAAAAAGTCTATGGTGCTTGTAAGGCACCCCAGCGCCTTGCACATTCTCTCCTGCCCAGGTTGGCATGATAGATGGCTGCCTTTCAGGAAGGGGAAGGTTTGGACAGGAGGCGAGGACGGGATGCTCTGGTCAAATCGTTTGGAGAGTGAGTGTCCTGTGCGTGCTGTGCTGAGGCGATAAATCACTGTCATCAAAACCAGTCCCCTCTTTAGTAGCGCACTTTTCATTTTCGCAAAGATTACTTTAGAAATCTTTTAATTGGATTATGCTGGGAAATTAATCTCCTTTAGCCTTGGCTAAATTTATTGTGGCCACTGACTGAAGGAAAGCCCTGTCACTGCAGTGAGGGCCATGTCCCCTTGTTCCTTTTCCCTCCACCCTCCAGGATCTCCCAGCTGCGTATGACAGTCGTGCCCCAAGCCCTCGAGAGTGACTGGAGTGAGAAAGGGTGGAAAGACACACCTAGGCAAAGGCCGCGGAAGTCCCCTGTGAATCCCCTTTGTCCTAAACACTGCGTTTCTGTCCCTTATTCCCTAGTTCCATATCCAGCATCCCCACAGCACCTCGCCTTTACCAACAAGGGGTTTTGGGGACCTGCTGCCGGGAAGGAGGCTGGAGTGGCAGGAAGGGAAAGTGGGGTGTGTCGGTGGAGCACTGCCTGCCAAATTCACTAGTTTGCCCTCTCCCCTTCACCCCCTTTCTGGGCCTTCGGCCCGGAGTCGCGGTCTTGCGAAGACTACTCTGCGCAAAAACGCACGGCTAGCTTTCGGTGTTCTTCCTGGCGCAACTCCGGAGACACTTCCCTTTGACGTTTGTGGCGCTTGAGGCCGCGGGTCTAGAGCCCTTCTCACTCCTCCTGGCTCCTCAAGCACCCGCGCAGTGTCGGGCGGCGACCTCCCTTCCAGCCTCGCTGCCCTGCGCGGTCAGCCTAGTCCATCGCGACTCCGGCAGTCGCGGGAAGTGGAGGATCCGGCCCCGCCGCCCGCGCCTCTCAGCGGGAGATAACAACATCTGCCTGAAACGGGATACCTACTTTTGCAGTTCAATTGAGCTCTTAATAGCAGCCTCTGAGGTGTGGTTAATTGATGGGGGATAAAGGCGTATTGACTTGATGGAGAGACGCCACTGATCCTTTAATATACTTTTAAAAGAACAACCACCACCCCCAAACACCGGCCTGTCTTTGCTCGGTGGGGGGAAAAGGCAGGGATCTGGAGGCTGGAAAAACGGCGCTGGTGATGTTTTTACCAGGAAGCGTCCGTGTGGGGTAAGCCCTGGCTCGAAGGGCTGAGGCACCAGAAAGCGGCCAAGGCGCCCAGCTCGGGTTGACAGCGCGTTGTTGCGTGGCTGCGGGGAGCGAGGAGGGATGGGGAGCCAGCCGAGAGAGCACCGACTGACAGGTGACCCGGCCGATAGACGGGGAGGAGCACGAAGCGGGGTGGTGGAGGGACGTCGCTTGTCCCTGGGCTCTGCCCCTCTGTGAGCCCTTCCCCTACTTGAGGCTGGATATCCACAAGCCAGGCGCCTCTGTTTGCCCGCCCTCCTTGGTTTGAGAGACCCTGTATCCAGTATGAGCTACACTGTCAAGTGGCGGCGGGAACTCCGGGGTTCTGCTGCCTGGACAACCTCAGGCCCCCGCGTCAGGACAGAGGCACGCGCCCGTGTGAATGTGTGTACGCGCGCGTGCGCACAAGCTGCCCCGAAACGCACAGCTGGAGCACAGCAGTCCTGAGCACGTGGCCGCATTTACACCAGGTCCGTCCAGAACTCCAGTGCCAGGCGTACTGGGACTGACCTGCGCTGCAGCTGGGTCCGGCTGTCGGGTCAGAGGAGCCCCAGCGCACCATCCCACCCAGACCTCTGCTTACCGTTTTCTCCTCAGTACCTTCCCTTTCCTTTGCCTGATTTCCTTTTGCTCAGTCAGTTCTAGCGGAGTCTCTAGAGGGTCAAAGGAGTGTTACTCGTCGCAGGTACCGAACTTAGGTTCACACAAGCACTAAAATGAAAAGAAAAAAAAAAAAAGAAAGAAAGAAAGAAAGAAAGAAAGAAAGAAAGAAAGAAAGAAAGAAAGAAAGAAAGAAAGAAAGAAAAAATCAGATTGCCTTTTCTGTTTGCCAAGGGGAACCTCGTCCAGATACGGGCTGTGGCGCCCCTAGCAGGTTTCGCACGTCTCCTATTTTACCTTTGGAAAAAGATAACCTTGATACTTCAGGTTTGAGCTCCCTCTGGAAACAAAAAGAGAAACGACTCCAGTCACCGTCTATGTTTTATTGCATTGAGAGATCGCAGGTATTTACGCTGCAGCTATTGTCCGCCTTCCTCCCTGAGCTCACATAACAAGGATGAAAGAGTCTAAGGAACTTAGTTTCCCCAAACGCTCTTGCATATGAGGGCGGGGAAACTTCGGAATCAAAGATTTGAAGAAATGCACTTGAGTCCCAACTCGCAGAGTGTGTGAGTCTCTGTGTGGTTCCGTCCTTCCGCAGTCACCGTCTAATCTCATCTAGTGTTGTTTTTCTGCCTTCTAGATCCCTAGGAACTCAAGATTCCCTGTTGTTTAGCCGTCGAGCTTCCGACCCCTCCGCATCTCTAGCCGGGAAGGACTGCGAGCTGGGCCCTAAGGTCGTGGTCCTCGGGGACAAGGCCCCGGGTCCAGACTCATTCCTTGGCCTGCAACTCCTGTTGAGAAGTTCCCCGCCCGGAGTGGAATAGTGACCTGGCGCTAGGTCCCCTAGTGATGAGAGTGCCCGAGGCTCTCTTGAAGGCCTCATATCTTCGGGCCGCCAGGGTCCAAAGGTGCCGGTGGCGGCCCCTCGTCCGCCTGAGCCCTGGGATCAGCGCGACCCTCAGCGCTGCAGGCCCCCGGGGCGGCCGGGGAACACCTGCCCCAAGACCAGACCCGGCCCCACCGCAGTCCAGGACCCTAACTCTCGAGTGTCGCCGCACGACCCTCACTCCTCCAGGGCGCTCCCTTGCGAACTAACTCTTCCCTCTGCAGACCGGGATCCCTGGTAGGGGCCCCTCCCACCCCTCTCCCCTTGGCTGGCGAACTCCGACCCCGAGCGCAGCTCCGCAGGGAGCGGCTCCCGGAAGCGAGGCCCACATCCGGCCGCGGAGCCTCGCGCGCGGGGTTGGCGGCTGGGCGCTCGACGCGAGTGCGGTGCCCTGCGCGGCGGAAGGGCCCCGGCCGCGGGATCTGCGCACTGGGACGTCGTTGCGAGGCTGGAGGCAGAGCTCTCGCCAGCGCGGAAGGCCACCGCTCCGCGAGCAGGCGGGAGGGACGAAGCCCCGGGCCTGCGCCGGGGGCTTTCAAGAGGGAAGCCAGGTCCGACCGGGGGGTGGCGCAGGCTTCCCGAACCCCGGGCCCGCGCCCCGGCTCCGCGCGGGCACTTGGCGCCCCCTCGGGTAGGCGCGGCAAACCTCTTAGGAATGGGCCCCAGGGAGTGTGAGCGGGTACCCGCCGATCTTTTAAGGTTCAGAGATCCGCCGTCGAAGGAAGCTGCTTTTGCAGCCTTCCCATGTCGCCTCCTTTCCCCCGCTCCCCGCGCTGGCTAAAGTGCTGAGCCTTGCCACCCTCCCGGGGTGCCTAACGATTTGCCCTGCCTTGGGCAGCCACGCCTCTTCAGGTGGTGGGCTGCTGGTAGGGGTAGGAAGCAAGGCCTGGGACACGGTTGGAGACCCTCACACCTTATTTTCTATTTTAAGGAAGGACTGGGTTTCAAGAAGCTGGAGAGTCTGTGGGAGTTTACTTTTGTGGCCCTTGGCACTTTTTAAAACAACCATCTGCAAGGCGGGAACAGCGGATAAAGCGCTATGTAGTTCATAAAAAAGATATTGGGAGACTGTATCTCAAGAGTTTTTCCAGAGATTGTTTTGTAATCTCTCAATTTAGATTGAGAAACGGAAATACCACCACCGTTCAGCCAATCTGCTGGGAGGACTGCTTGCAGGGGACTCGTGCTCCAGATGTTGCACTAGAGGCGCTGCAAGTGTGAGCAGGTAATGTGGAGAAGAGTGACATTGTTAGCAGAAAGCATCTAATTAAAAATGACTTCATTTGATTGGAAGGATGAAAAAACCTTTTTAAATAAATCCAGATTCACTGGCCTAAGCTCAGCCAATTTATGAATATGGAGCCCGACTGGGGTCTGCTTTCCTTCAAAGATGTCATCTTAGAGGTAATAGCATAGGTGAAGTCATTTGGTTACACTGTGGAAACTTTTATAGAATCTTCCTCGGGAATTTAATTCAGTGCTTCTTCATTTTATTAGGAACAGACTGACTCCATCAACTGTGCTCTCTCCCTGTTTAGAGGCAGGACTGCTTGAAGCAATTAGGTTCACCAATTAACATAGTTTGACTGACCTCCGCAGCAGCACCACCAGCGTTCCATTTCTTCAAAGTTAGGGAAAAGCTGAAACAGAGCATGCTTCCCAGGTGTCCAGGTTGGGGAGATAAGCCCAGGAGCAGGGTGGTGCAGCAGCGCAAAAAACTTTCTAATAGTCCCGAAGTGTTTGTTTCATTAACTTTGGTGGATTTTGTTTAACCCCCTTTCTGATTCTGGATCCTGTAATACCTCCTTACTTTGACATAGCCCTTAGAACCTCTCTCCTTTGGTTGTATTTTAGCAGAATTGCTTTTAAGAAAGTTAATTTTCTGTTTTCTCCCTTCTCTTCTGTCCTCCTGTATGCTATTGAGCTTGTGGGAAATTTTAGGGTCCGGAGAGAGGAAATCGTTGACAGGGCCGTTGAAACCTTATTAGGTGACAAGGTAAGGGCTCAGGTGTGGGTATGTGTGTATCTCAGACACCTATGAGGAAAGGCCAGAGTGAATACTAGGAGAAAGTCATTGCTTTTCCTAATTTTTAGGGTGTACCTGCAAGGCTACCCTGCAATCTTTTCACCATAAGCTCAATCAGTTGGTACATCTTTAGTCAAAGAAAATGTTTGAAGCCCAAAGCAGTCTAGAAAAGAAGGGTTTTTTGCTCTTGTTAGTGGTAGTAAAGGCATTAAATTTATTTACATGGCTGTTGTTCCTCTCTTGTTCTCTCCTAAAAATATACATTTCTCTGGAAGATTTCACTAGATTAAATTGCTGACAGTTCATCAGTAGCAGCAACAATGTAATTCTCCTAACCTTATTAAATCAATAAATACTAGATCCATGCATTGAATTAAAAATGCGTCAGCATGGCCAGGAATTATGATCATATGGCCAAGGATCTCAGAATCGAACATGCCATTCAAAAATTGACTAGTTAGCATTTATTTAGTCTTCTTTTTCTGTTTTGGATGTGTGATTAGGTATTCTGGAGTTTTAACATTTTAGGGACTGTCGTGTCAAGTTTTTTTTCGTTGTTGTTGTTGTTGTTGCTGTTTATAATCTTGAATTCTTTTACTAACATCTCACATTTAACCATGAATTTGATGCATACATTTACAATAGTAATGCAGTGTGACTTCATAGTTCTTGCCATTAGTTTTCATCAAGGAAATATACTTCTACTTAGAATACATTACTCTAGTAAGACATACTTAGGTCCATAACTTTCTCCAGAAGCACAAATAAATTTAGATACATAGGCTTTTGTATAAGTATAAATAAATATACTCAGTGTGAATATACTGCTGTACATTTAAGTTTATTTTTAAAAGAAAACCACATTTATCTTCCAACTCTGTCAACTACATTATGAGCAAAATATTTATCATTTTAAAATAAGTCATTTATTTGTAATTCGACATGCTTGCTGGAATTTACACAAGAGCTTGAATTAAAAATTTTAAGTCTTTAAACTTAACACAGCATTGCAAATTAACATATATCTTAGATGGTTACATTTTATATGTGAAGAAATACCTCAAATATGGTTTACCAGGAATTAGTTAAGATGTAGATTAGTAGGTAAATTTACACTTAGTTTCTGGTGAAAACAAGGACCGTGTATAACACTTTGTAGTTGGATGGACAAAGTAATATTTACTTTACCCAGATATTTGACCATACTGATTAATGATGCTAATTATTTAAAAACATTCATCTCTTATTGATATCAGCCAGCTTAGATGGTACTGAATTCTGAAGATACAGTCATTGGCTCTTGGGCTCACCACACTGTGGAAGAAAAATCTTTATTTGACGAAATAGGCAATCAACTGAAATCTATCCTCTTTAAATAAACTGATTCCTCAGTATTTTCCCAGTGTTGGTGTAAGTTGTTGTCTGTGATATCCCCCAGGGCTATTTTCCTCTGCTCTCTGATTTGGTATATAAAAGCAGCTCTGAATGATGGATTACTGTGTCATTGCAGCCTGCGAAGGATTAATTTGTTTCATTGATTTCTCTTTAGGCAGATTGCCAGAATTTGCTGCTTCCCACCTTTCCTCAAGACTTCTAGAAGTAATAGACAGTAATAGCCAAAGACAAATCAGCTTCTTCTTATAAAAATAGAATCAGGAAACTAAGAGTCCTAGGAAAGCTATGGCAAACTTTTTTACTGGTACACTGAAAGAGCAATTAATAGTCTACTTCATTTGCTTTAGAAATATTTTAAATTGAAAATTTCCTTGAATTGACAATGTACTACACATCATATTAGTAGATCTTAAGGGCACACTTGTAGTGTTTGTTTCATAAAAAATTTTCTCTAATTTGTAAGGATTCTGCTTAACTCAGGAAAAAAAAAAAAGGTCTATGTGATTGACAATTACCTTTTCCTGTGCTGGATTTCAGGATCAAATGGCATGTCAACGTTAAGTCAATTTACCTGTAAGTATTTATATGACTCTTTTGCCCAAATAATTTTTAGAAACTTTTGACTGAGAATATCAGATCATAAAAATAGAACTGTTTAAAGAAAAAGTAACTTTTATGATAAAAGAAGTAGTATCTGCCCATAAGACAGAATTTTAAAAAAATTAGAAATGCCATTTTGTGTGTTTTCTCTAAACCTAATTCCTCTAAGCATTTAATATAATTAAAATTATTATTAAACTCATTTATATTGACTCTATAATGTTTTAACATATCTACTTTAATCATTGCTCTATTAGACAACTCAGATTTTTAATTTTCCATTAGTATAAAGTAAGTTGTAATAAATAGCATTTTAAATAAACCTTCAGTCATTCCTATGGTTATATTCTTATAATATATTATTAAAAGAGAAATTACTTAGGCTGAGAATATAGACTGTTTTTTAAAGTTTTTGATATTGATTGCCCACTTGTGTTCCAGAAAGGTTCTACCAATTTATACTGGGACTTAAAAAAATTTCTCTGTAAAGGCATCATTCCAATTCATGTTACATGAGCAAAGAAAACAGAACAACACTTTTTTCCTGTGTTCTGAAAGCAGTGATAACATTTTGCATATACTTAATCTGTTAGAAGTATTTTCCCAACTGCAGATGTGAAATAGGCTGGTTATACAAATCTATTTGTTTCTCTTCTGCAGTGCTGAAAATTATATTGATTTAATGATCTCAAGTTATACGTTTTATGCAATTAGTTGTGTAGTAAAAACTAATATTGTCATGTGCTAATGTCTTTTTTTCTTCCGTTGTGCTATGGTAGTAGTCTATGAGATATCAGCAAGTTTATGCTTTTCCTTTGCTTTGCTGAAAGGAAAAAGGAACATCTGTTTCCATTATATATCTGCATCATAATGATAACAATTAAATAGCTATTATGGTAGTATAAAGTAAATATATTTTGCTGAATGACCTGTACTTTCTTGTTGGAAAATTTCACATATTTTGGAGGCACTTAGTTTTTACACATAGTTTCTGTGTGGACATTTAGATAGGCCTTTGCTTACTTTAGGTAAATTATTGCAGTTCTTATTTGTTTCAGTAAAAACAACCAACCAATCTGATGATGAAACACTAGGCTATTAGATGTGACTCTTGAATATGTTTAAAGCACAAATTGTTAAGTATCTTTCTCAGTTCTTAAGTGGGTTTATCATGCTGTTAGTAATAAAATTTATTTTGTGTTTTGTGCTTTGCATAGTACTTTTATATTTTACTAAGTTAGATTAGAAATAGTTATATGTGTATGTATTTTCAGAACATTATGAATTTTTTTTCTTATATTAGGGGGACACAGTGATATTTACCCTTTAAACTCAGCAGGAGAATATTTGAAACCACACACAACTATTTCATTGACCTTTAAAGTTCCGGAGAAGTGTTGTCATTTATTTTAGCTTTTGATTAAAGATATTTTGGTGGTTACATAAAAAAAGATTAGAAAGTGTTTCATATAAAATGATATATGAAGAAAAATAAACATCCATGTACACCAAACCAAGTTTGAGAAATAAAATATTGTGAGTACAATTGAAGTCTTCCAGAATATATTTCTTTATGGCTTCTCGAATAGATAATTATCTTAAATTTGGTAGTTATCATCCTTTTGCCGCTTACTTTTTTTTTTAAACATGTTCTAGAAATTTGACATAAATAACTTGTCTTTTTAAATAAATAATTTTTAAAATGTTGGAGTTGTGACTGTTGTTAGAACTCTTTTGGTCTAATCACCTGTGACTGGGTATGTTTCTCTGTTTAGTGTCCTCATGTATGAAGTTGGGGTTAAGTCTGTATGATCTCTGCTGTCTTTCTAGGTGTAATTAAAAAAAATTTTTGCAATGCTGCTTGTGTTCCATATGAAACAAAAATAAAACAAACAAAAGACAGAGGCTGAGAAAGGCTAAGTAACTTGCCCAAGACTATATAGTTAAGTCACAGAGTAGGGAACAAAACTCAGTTCTCCTGACTTCCATTCAGGTAGTCTTTTCTTCACTCCATATTACCTGTCATTTTTTCTGATTATTCTTAAGAAGGAGTGGGGAGAAAGAATAGAGAAACAGAGATTTTTTTTTCCCCTTGGACTGTTTTTTCTATAGGGGAAAATCACCGAAGCTCTATCAGCCTGAAAGCTACTTACAGGGTTAGAATACTGTGTGTCCTGCAGAGCGTGAATCTCTTCCGTGTTTTCTGGACTTTCCGGGAAAGAATGATAGTTTATATGTAAAGAGGTTTTCACTAGTCTCCTTACCCTACAGTTAATTTTCTGATCTCTTTAAAGACTGGGAAAATAGGATGAGGACAAACACAAATTTCTTTTTACATGTATACGTCTCTGAAATTCAGTGTTTTAGCAACCATGTCTTTAATAAATTACTATTCCTCTTTTATGTAGTTTATACTGTGTTCAAATTACAAATGACCACCTATTTGAAAATAGGTTTGTTTGTTGTTCTTATTTAGTAGCAAATATAACAGAGCACTAAAGTGAAAATAGCACAAATAATGTGGAAATACATTTTAAAAATCTCTTTGGAGAAAAACTCCATTCTAAAAATAGCAACTTAGAATTACATGCATGTACTTTCCCTTTCAGGTTTTTACTCTAACAAATTTATTTCATTCTTAGTTGAGATGACTAAGCTTGAGTCATAATATTCACACAGTGCCATGTCTCTCCTATGAAAAAATAGCAATGTAACTGGAGGTTGGAGTTACATATTTTATTGTAAAACCATCTTTTCCCAAATCCGTTGCTTCAAGATCAAAAAGTTGGTTTCTTAAAGTACTGCTTTCTTCTATAAATGCATACTTGGGAACTTATAATAGTAACCATTCTCTTTAGGGTGGATGAAGCTGCTAATGGTAGCTTTGTCTGTGCTATAAATATTCTTAAGGGAGGTAGTTGGGTTTTAACAGCAAACCAGATAACACATTTATTTGTCTGTGAGTATTGCAGGTCAAATTGTCTTACATGTTCAGCAGCTTCTAATAGGAATATTTCCTTAGCATACTAAGTTGGGGCGGAGAGATCTGATTTAATTGAGTTAGCAGTATTCAGCGCACCTTTTATTTAGACATTGCTTTATTTGCTCACATTTACTATGATTTCTTTCATTTCTGTCTGGGAAAGCTTCTTTGGGGTGTGTGTGAGAATATTTTAAAAGGCAACTCTTTGTCCAATTAAAATTTCTGGCAAATATCTGTAATATAAGGAGTTTTCTACCCTGAGTAAATTTCCCTATGTTTCTCCAGCAGGTAGATGAAACTCAAGAGAAAAGTGTGGGTAAACGAAACTAGCCGATGATGAACCTGTTTTCTCCCTGACCACAATATGAACCAGGATGATGGCGGTAAGAATATTGAGCCTTAACCACTAAACCAGCAATGCTAAAACCTGAAACCCTAGTGAAACACAAGGATATATGGTCATTGTGTAGTCATATATGTTACCTCACTTTCTTATTTATTACAGCGCTCCTTAGAGAGGTGGTGTGGTGTTTACAGAAATACAATAGAATGTGGTAAATTTTCTTTCTTGGCCATATATACCAGGATTATGGGGGCTTAAATATATGCACCATTTCTACTCAGGTCTTAATGACTTCCCTTTAGACCAAGTTGAGATTATTTCAAAACCAGCATTGGCTATATATTTTTCATTGACACAGCCAATACACAATTTTTAGCTGTGACTTACAATTTGTGAATACAAGTGGTAGAATTTTCTCTTACTAATGTTAGATTTGCATGATGTAAAAATTTGTTCATGTCCTGTTTTGAATTCCCAGTTCTTTAGGATTTTTCCATATTTGATTATTAGGAGAATTATGTGACTATTATGCTTCTTGTTCTTGAAGTATAGATATTCAACACATAGGTATTGAGTTTTTAATCATGCTTAAGGCATGTGAGAGTTGATAAAGGCAAACTCCCTACCCTAATTACTCTCCATAATAATTGATACGGTCTTTTATCAATAATTTAACAGATTTTATTAATATAATATATTCATGTCATTTTTATTCATGTTATTATATTGAGACTTTAAGATAGAAAGAAAATATATTACTTTTTCCTTGCTGTTAACTTTTTGAAAAAATGCTTGGCATTGAGGCTGGGTGAGATGGCTCACGCCTATAATTCCAGCACTTTGGGAGGCCTAGGTGGATGGATAGCTTGAGCTCAGGAGTCCGAGGCCAGCTTGGGCAACATGGTGAAACCCTGTCTCTACAAAAAATACAATAATTAGACAGGCATGGTAGCATGTGCCTGTGGACCCGTCTCCTTAGGAGGCTGAGGTGGGAGGATCACTTGAGCTGGGGAGGTCAAGGCTGTAGTGAGCTGAGATTGTGTTACTGCATTCCAGCCTGGGAAGCCTGGGAGATAGGAATTGTAATTTGGGGGCAGCCTAAATTATAGTATTATTTAATATGTATCTTGAATAAATAGAATATGGCATTTGCTAACTTTATCTTATTTTATTATATATATGCATATATTTTTGTAGAGGCAGGTTTTATTATGTTGCCCAGACTGGTCTCATATTCCTGGCCAGAAGCAATTCTCCTACCTTGGCCTCCCAAAGTGCTGGGATTATAGGTGTGAGCTATGGCACCCAGCCATGTTTGTTAACTTTAAATCAGTACTTAAAAAAAAAAAGTCTTAGAGTTTTTTTTAATACTCTAAAATATTTTGTTTAAATTAAATGTGTCAGTTTAGTTATCTCATTGCAAATAAAATAGTTTTCTGAAAAGTAACCTTTATGTTGTTTAATTGAGCAAAAAGCGCATTCATATTTCGAAAACTCAACTAACAAAGTCTGTTTTTGTTCAAGTTAGGAACTACACTAAGAATAAAGGCAAATATGTTTTCATAAATATATATGTGTATAAATATACATACATGTTTAGAATTTTTTTTTTTTTTTTTTTGAGACAGGGTCTCTGTTGCCTAGGCTGGAGTGCTGTGGTGTGAACATAGCTCAATACAGCCTTGACCTGTTGGGCTCAAGTGATCCTTCCACCTCAGTCTCACATGGAGCTGAGTCCACAGGCATGCTGCACCATCATGCCCAGTTAATTTTTAAATTTTTTGTAGAGACGGGGGTCTCATTTTATTGCCCAGGCTGGTGGTCTCAAACTCCTGAGCTCAAGCGGTCCTGCCACTTTGGCCTCCCAAAGTTCTGGGATTACAGGCATGAACCACTGTTCCTGGCCTGTTCTCATAAATATTAAAAAAAATACCAGTGTTTGGTCTTGACCATACATTAGCTTTGATGCTGATGCTAATGTTATTGAACTTATTATAGCATTAAACATATTTTTATAGCTCACTAAAATTTTTAAGAAGATGCTAACAATTACCTCTCTCACAAGAAATGGGTTGTTGATATATTTTCCAACAAATTTGACCAGTGCAGATAGCTCTTTTAGATAAAGAACTTAACAAAAAATACCACCATACTTTTCATAATAATTACAGTCTTTCTGCACTTAATTGTGCAATTTCTTCTACTTCTTTATATGTAGATATAGGAACAAATTTCAGTTTGCAGGTATTGGAATTCATATGGGAATTTAATTTGTATCTCGTGTAGAGTGTTTGCATGATATAACGAGGTCCTTTTGAATTTGGTGATTTGTTGGGTTTTGCATTGTTTATATTTCTCAAAATAAGTATGTAAATTCAAAATAAGTATTTTCTTCAATTAGCTGATTTTTGATATATATGTTTTACAAGATTCATATTTAAAATCGATAAACACATTGCTAATTCCTGGTAGAAGGTTCAGTGGATTATACCATCCTATTTGAGTTAAACTGATGTGATTCTAAATTGTGAAGGTAGTTTTTCTGGACTGAGTAAAGCTTACAGATTTGAGGGAATAAAGGAGTGGTATTATAGATTTTTGAAAGCTGCATAACAACTAATGTCAATGACAAAGCCAAAAGTCACTGAGATTTTAGTTCTAAGATTAAGGTTTGAATGTGTTTTGAGTTTTGGCAAATAGTTTTACAATTCTGAAAGTCCTAAATCTTCTAGTCAGGAACTGAACTAGCCAAAGGCAGTATTTAGTGTACAGTATAAATGATCAAGACTTTTGTTCTTACATGAGCTTGCTTAATTATTTTTCCTACCCAAGAGAAGTATAGAAAAATCCTTAATTTATAAATATTTCTTTTAATAAAAATAGTAAAGCCCTATTATTATTGTATGTTAAGCACATGTAATTACTTCATCTAATTTCTTCAGTTTTTATAAAATGTAAAACTACCATTTTATTGGTGAAGAGTTTGAAGCTCAAACATGATAAGGTAATTTGCTCAAGTCATATAAAGGCATGTCTTGTTTTACTGTGGTTCATTTTATTGCGCTTAACAGATACTACATTTTTTACAAATTATGTTTTTTACAAATTTAAGGTTTGTGGCAACCCTGTAGAGAGTATGACTGTTGGTGCCATTTTTTCAACAGTGTGTGTCACTTAGTGTCTCTGTGTCATAATTTGTAAATCTCACACTATTTCAGAGTTTTTCATTATTACAATATCTGTTAGGAGGAGCTGTGGTCTTTGATGTTACTAACGTAACATTGTTTTGAGGTGTCACAAACTGAGCCCCTCGAAGACAGCAAAGCTAAATGATAAATGTGTGTATTCTGACTGCTCCACTGATCAGCCAGTCCCCTTTCTCTCCTTGGGCCACCCTTGTCCCTGAGATTGAAAGTGTTGTGCCAGTTAATTGCCCTATAATGGCTTTCAAGTGTTCAAGTGAAAGGAAGAATCACACCTCCTTTACTTTCAATCAAAAGCTAGAAATGAGGAAATAAGCTTACTGAGGAAGGCTTCTTAAAAGCCAAGACAGGCCAAAAGCTAGGCCTCTTGTGCCACACAGCCAAGTTGTGAAAGCAAAGGTATTGTTGGGGTTCAGGGGAGCCCTCAGCTTCCCTGAGAGGATGTTTCTCCAAGGTTCTTGATCTCCGGCTCTCTCAAGAATGAGAGAGGGGACCAGGTACACTCATAAAGTAAATACCGGACCCCAAACAGAGTTTTCGCAGAAAAGTGATTTTATTTTAGGTAGAGAAAGAGAAAAAGGAGAAGAGAAAACGTCCACGAAGAGTGTAGAAGGGGACTCCAGAGGGGAAATTCAGAAAATGAAAGCTCCTCTCACACTGAGTCAGAGAATCCAGAAAGATGGAATCCAGGAGAGAAAAGACAGCTTCCACACTGGGTAGAAGGGAATTGAGAGAGCGAGATGGAGTTTAGGAGGGGAAGACAGGCTTCCACGAGAGTGAGTTAGTGGAAGGGGATTCAAACATGGAGTCCAAAGGGGTGTGGAAGAAGGGGACTTTTAACCTGGGAGGAACGCCTACTTTCTTCTAGACCTCTGGCCAGTGAAAGGAGTTCCTTAGAACTTCCACTGGAGCGATTGACTTTTTGATTCTTACCATGCCTGCGAAACTTAAAACAGAGGCAGTTAAATCTGAATGGAGAGATGTGAGGATGGCATGGCGCTGGGAAGTTCTTGCCCTTACAACTACGCCCCCTTGTGGACCTGGAAAGAGAACACATTCCCTCATTATTATTCCAAGGAAAACACAAACAGTAAAAAAGCATAGTCTTATTGTAGAGAAAGTGTGAGTGGTCTCCATAGAAGATCAAACCAGCCACAATATTAGGTGAAAGTCTAATCCAGAACAAAGCCCTAACTCTCTTCAATTCCATGAAGGCTGAGGAAGTTACAGAGAAAAAGATTGAAGCTAGCAGAAGTTGGTTCGTGAGGTTTAAGGAAAGACGCAATCTCCAGAATATAAAAGTATAAAGTGAAGCAGCAAGTGTTGCTGTAGAAACTATAGCAAGTTATCCAGAAGATCTAGCTAAGATCATTGACAATAGTAGCTACACCAAACAACACATTTTCAGTGTAGATGAAATGGCCTTCTGTTGGAAGAAGATGCCATCTCCAACTTTTATAGCTAGAGCAGAGAAGTCTAAAGCCTGATTTCAAAGCCTCAAAGGATAGGCTGACTCTTGTTAGAGGCTAAACCAGTTAGTGACTTTAAGTTGAAGCCAGTGCTCATTTGCCATTCCAAAAATCCTAGCACCTTTAAGAATTATGCTAAATCTTCCATGCCTTTACTTTTTTTTTTCTTTTTTTTTTTTTTTTTTTTTTTTTTTTGAGACGGAGTTTCGCTCTTGTTACCCAGGCTGGAGTGCAATGGCGTGATCTCGGCTCACCGCAACCTCTGCCTCCTGGGTTCAGGCAATTCTCCTGCTTCAGCCTCCTGAGTAGCTGGGACTACAGGCATGCGCCACCATGCCCGGCTAATTTTTTGTATTTTTAGTAGAGAGGGGGTTTCACCATGTTGACCAGGATGGTCTTGATCTCTTGACCTCGTGATCCACCCGCCTCGGCCTCCCAAAGTGCTGGGATTACAGGCTTGAGCCACCGCGCCCGGCCCCATGCCTTTACTTTTTAAACAGAAAGACAAAGTCAGGATTCCAGCACATGTGTTTATCACATGATTTATTGAATATTTTAAACTCACTGTTTTAGACCTGCTGCCTAGAAAAAAAAATTCCTTTTAAACTATTACAGCTCCTTGATAATGCACCTGGTCACCCAAGAGCTCTGATGGAAATGTACAAGGAGATTCATATTGTTTTCATGTCTGCTAACACAACATGTATTCTACAGCCCATAGATCAAGGAGTAATTTCAACTTTCAATTTTTATTAATTAAGAAATAAATTTTGAGGCTAAGCCTGGTGGCTCACGCCTGTAATCCCAGCATTTTGGGAGGCCAAGGGGGGTGGATCACCTGAGGTCAGGAGTTCGAGACTAGCCTGGCCAACATGGCAAAACCCCAGGTCTACTAAAAATACAAAAATTAGCTGGGTGGTGGCAGGTGTCTGTAATCCCAGCTACTCAGGAGGCTGAGGCAGGAGAATTGCTGGAACCCGGGAGGTGGAGGGTGCAGTGAGCTGAAATCGCGCTGTGACACTCCAGCCTAGGTGACAAGAGCAACACTCTGTCTTAAAAAAAATGAAATACATTTTGTAAGGCTATAGCTGCCATACATAGTGATTTCTCTGATGCATCTGGGCAAAGTTAATTGAAAGTCTTCTGGAAAAGATTCACCATTCCAGCTGCCATTAAGAACATTTGTGATTCATGGGAGGAGCTCAAAATATCAACATGAACAAGATATTGGAAGAAGTTGGTTCCAACACTCATGGATGACTTTGAGGGGTTCAGGACTTTGGAGGAGGAAGTAACTGCAGATGTGGTGGAAATAGCGAGAACTATAATTAGACGTGGGGCCTGAAGATGTGACCGAATTGCTGCAATTACATGATTAAACTTGAACGGATGAGTTGTTTCTTATGGATGAGCAAAAAAAGGTGGTTTCTTGGGATGGAATCTACTCTTGATAAAGATGCTATGAACACTGTTGAAGTAACAACAGATTTAGAACATTATATAAACTTAGTTGATAAAGCAACAGCAGGGTTGGAAGGGACTGACTCCAGTTTTGAAAGAAGTTCTACTGTGGGTAAAGTGCTATCAAACAGCATTGCATGCCACAGAGAAATCTTTCGTTAAAGGAAGAGTCAATCAATGAGACAAACTTTATTGTTGTCTTCTTTTAAGAAATTGCCACAGCCACTCAAGCTTCAGCAGTCACCACCTTGATCAGTCAGCAGTCATCAACTTCAAGGCAAGATCCTCCACCAGCAAAAAGATTACAACTTACTGAAGGCTCAGAGGATCGTTTGCATGTTTTTTTTTTTTTCTTTTGCAGTAAAGTATTTTTAAATTAAGGTATGTACATGTTTTTTTAGACATATTATGATTACATATTTAATAGACTGCATTATAGTGTAAACATAAATTTTATGTGCACTGGGAAACAAAAAACTTTGTATGACTTGTTTTGTACAGTATTGGCTTTATTGCTGTGATCTGGAATTAAATTTGCAATATCTTCAAGATATGCCTCTAACTAGTGAGTGACAGAGCAAAGATTTGAATTAAAGTATGTGTTATCTCAGAGCCCATTCCTGGTCTATGCCAATATTATTGCTCTTCATCAAGTAACTCATTATACTATGTTTTGGTTGTATTATGGGTCAGATCACATTTTCATAGCATGAAAATGCACAAAGCAACTCTTCCCATTACAAAGAAAAATTTATATAACTTCATTTTACTCTCTATCCTAATATCTATAGAATGGTTACATCCTCTAATGTTTGATTATGTGATGCTGTCTGTGTAAATGGTACTATATAGGATGAAGGATGAATCATGTTTATTCTTAGAAGTTTTTGGCACTAGATTGGCTTAGCTATTAAATAACACATTTGCCGCCAGAGTGAAAAATGAATAGCAAGATATTTTTTGATTTGTAATCTTACAAATGTTTTTGTTTTTAATGACTTTCAGGGAAAAAGAAATCATGGTTTCCCTTAGTAGTTGAGTTATTTTGCTATGGTGGTTATAAAAAATACCACAAACTGGGTGGCTAACCCAACAAAAATCTATTGTCTCTCAGTTCTGGAAGATAGAAGTCTGAGATCAAGGTGTTGGTTCTTTTTAAGGGGTATGATGGAGAGTCTGTTCCATGCTTCTTTCCTAGCTTCTGGTGGTTTGCTGGTAATCTTTGACATTCCTTGGCTTATAGATCTGTTACCCCGATCTTTGCCTTCACATGGTGTTCTTCCTATGTGCGTGTCTGTCTCTGTGTCCAGATCTACCTATTTATAAGGATACTAGTCACATTGGATTAGGGTTCACCCTAATGATTTTGTCTTAACTTGATTATTTGCAAAGACTCTTGTCTCCAAATAAGGTCACCTTCACAGGAGTTGGAGATTAAGGCTTCAATTGAGGGGAAACAATTCAATCCATAACAGTAGGCAACTTTTCTGAAGATAGATTTGAAAACTCTTTAGTTGTGATTATATGCATAAGTTTGTTTATCAAAACATTGGAATAATTATATGTGCATATGTCCATAAATGAGATTTGCTTTGGAATAGAACAGACTTGCACTGTTCTTATATAAAAACTGTAGGAAGAACAAACAGGAGGACTACTGAAGATGGTTTTCAATACATTAAATATGATTGGATGTGAAACTGTATGGAGCAGGTAATGCATGGATGAGATCATTGTAACTGGTGGTATGATAAAGTTGAGATTTAGTTGGGCATTTGGGGCCAGAGGATGCTACAGAAGCAGAAAGAACATGAGGTAAAGAAAGTCCTGATGTAGGGGTATTTTAGGTATAGTGGGCTGTGGTGGTGAAGGAGGCTTTGGGTTCAGTTATATTGTCAAGGGATCCTGGGTGAGGTCCTTTAGGGTTAATGCAAGTTTTAGCTATTATAGCTTCAAGAAATTGTAGAATTTATTTTTAATTTTATTATGTAGAACATTTGGAATATATCAGTAATAAGAAGAAAAACTTGACCTCTAACCCTACTACTCATTATTATTTTTTTTACAGGTTGATATTCCTGTGTCAAATTCCTGCCATTTTAAAATTGATATTATATTACATAAACAGTTTTCTAAAATAACTTAGTGTCTGTAGTGTTGTCTAAATGTATACCTGGATTTGAGACCCAGTGGGTAACAGACCTAATGGTCATTGGTGATGAGTTGGGTCACCATAATTCCATATACCATTAGGTAAAGCCAACTTTGTCTTTTGTGATTTAGTCCATTCAGTCCTGTCCTTCCGTCTTGTTCTTCCTCTCATCTTTCATACTGCTGCCAAGGTCTTTTTTTTTTCCTTTAAGATGGAATCTCACTTTGTCACCAGGCTGGAGTGCAGTGGTGCGATCTTGGCTCACTGCAACCTCCATCTCCTGAGTTCAAGCAATTCTCCTGTCTCAGCTTCCCAAGTAGCTGGGACTACAGGCGTGCACCACCACGCCCAGCTAATTTTTGTATTTTTAGTCGAGACGGGGTTTCCCCATCTTGGCCGGGGATGGTCTTGATCTCTTGACCTCATGATACACCTGCCTTGGCCTCCCAAAGTGCTGGGATTACAGGCGTGAGCCACTGTGCCTGGCTGTCAAGATCTTTTTAATGATCACTTCACTTTCCTGTCTTCACTCCTTTAGTCAGAGTAGAGGTTCAACTTTTTATCATATAAGTCATCTCCGTTATCTTTCTCATGCCTTTGTCTTCTTATTTGCTCCTTTTCCAAAAATTACTTGAAATTCTCAAAATATTGTGTACCGTTTTGTACCTCCCTAACTTTTTACCTCTTTCTTCAACTAAGAATGCACTTTTTCTACTTGTCTCTCTGTCCAGCAGCTACTCATTCTTTAATACTCATCTCAAATGACATTTCCTTTCTTCTCTGAAGCCTTTATTTAAAGCCGGTTTTTCCTTCCTTTTAGTATCTGTAATACTTTCTATAAAACTTGTTACGGAACTGATTACAGAGTATTATAGTAGCCAGTTTTTACCTTAATTTTCTTACTAGACTGAGTTATTTGAGTGTTCTGCTGGGCATTGTAGAAATTGGAAACCAAAATGAAGAGGAGCTTTAGAAGTTTACAACCTAGTATAAGACATCCAATTTTGGCAAGTTGGTGGAGGATGATAATGAAAAGCTGTTAAAGAGAATATACTTGCATGTCCCATTAAAACAGAATTGTGACTGGAAATGTTTTTATAGTGTCTTAAAATTAATGAAGTTTATTTGTTTGCAGGTGGCAGTGGGCCTGCATCACAGGTTGCAGCAGATGTTCTCAATATTTCTATTAACATTTCCTTATTTCCATATGCAAGAGGAGCCCCAGAGCCTCATCCCTGTGGTAGCTACCATGCCGTGGTAGGTGATGCTGTACTCTTCCACATCATCCTTCCGGTTCTAGCAGAGGATCTGGGTTAGAATCTAGCTGTTTTGTTTTTGTAAACAACTATGGAGAACTGAAAGAGGAATGTTTCAATAATATCTAGATTGTGGTTTTTTTTGAGGTTATGTACTATGCCTTGTTATTTTTGTAATTGTTCATAGAAGCCCTGAATAGTGCCTTGCTCATCATAGCGCTTAGCATTGTGATTTTGACTTGTATCTAGTTTTAATGGCTTCTTATTAATTTTTAAGTTATAATTGCTTATTCCCTTAAATAATAAAGAAGCATGTAACATTAATTTTACTTACAAACAATATTGTCCAGTAATATTTTATCAGCCTCCCAAGTCTTATGAAGGAGATTTAACTAGAAAAGGATAAAATTCCGTATTGAGGGTCAGCAGAACGATTTCATTGTGAAACCTCTGTATTGACAAGAACGAACACTGTAGCTAGTAACTAAAGTATTTTTACTTCATAAAAAGTGGAAGTATTTTACAGAATTCTAGGAAATGTCAAAGTGATTTTGGCTGTAGTAATATTGCATTTAATGCTATAGAGAGTATTTCTTAAATTAACAAAAATATTCTGTGATTTTCTCAGTTATTGCTACTGGTGATGAGGGATGTAAAGTTGGCATGCTTTCATGTTTTGAGCATTATCATTATATGCTTCTGATTTTGCATGTCAGAAGCAATCTTTGTTTTAAGTTAGCTGAGAACCTTTTTTGGTAGAGGGTCGGGCTCTCATTATTTGTGTATTTATGTAAGTAACATATAGAATACAATGAATTGTTCAGAGTAATCACATATGTAATTTTTAATGTAAGAATTATACAGCATTTATGCACTCCTGTGACTTTTTAAAAGGTCATCAGTATATGGTAGTTTGGGACCAAAGACATAGGTTTTATTAAAGTATAGATCATTTTGTTTTGTTATTTTCTGTGACCACTGGTAACACTCATCTTACAGATGTAAGCTGCCGTTCACTAGGGAGCTTTGGCAAGAGAATTGGCTAGATCAACAAGCCCATTTCCACTATGGAACAACAACTTGCAGCTCATCTCTATTGCTGGTGAGTAAGTGTCATCTTTATACATGAAAGAGCATGTTAATGCTATTTTATCTTTGCAGTGTTATTAAACAACAATTTGGTTTAAACTTTGTTTTATGAGACATTATTGGGATGTTAAACCATGATGCTTCATTACTTGAGCCCAAAGGATAACAAAGTAATCAACACAACAGTGAAAAGTAATGGAAGTTATAATTTGTTATCTATGAATATACTTGAGTTGTTTGAATAGCTCCTGTCTCTCCTCTCCATTCTCATTTTATAACACATGGCAGCTAACCTATAATTCATGACTCTTATTTGAATACATACTGACTAGAAAAGAGTCATATATTGATCACGTATGTTGTATACTTATTTTAAAAACATATTACTAGGCCAGGTGAGGTAGCTTATGACTGTAATCTCAGCACTTTGGAGGCCAAGGTGGGAGGATCACTTGAGGCCAGGAGTTTGAGACTGGCTTGCTAACATGTTGAAACCTCGTCTATGCTAAAAACGCTTTACTTGGGTGGCTGAAGCAAGAGAATCGCTTGAACTTGGGAGGTGGAGGTTGCAGTGAGCTGAGATCGAGCCACTGCACTCCAGCCTGTGTGACAGAGCAAGACTGTGTCTCTAAAACAAAAACAAAAACAGAAAACAAAAACACCATGGATGTATTACTGATATTAGGAAATTTCAGGACAAGTACACTGAAAAGATTCTTTTCCATTTTCAAATAAATTATTTAGTCTATCAACTGGTGGCTATTGTTAATGCTTGTTGCAAGTTTGCTATTCCAGAGACACAGTGCTTGACTTCTATATATTTAATATTATTACAAGAGTCAGTAGTATATCTACATAGCGATCTATAGTTCGGGCAATATCATTTAATAATCATAACTTCATTTTACTGTACTAGTTTCATTTATAATTTGACCAAATATTATATAATCATGGAGTGTGTATGTATATGTGTGAGTAATATATAAGTAACTTGTTACAATCACTTATGTTGCTTTGGCCCTCTTTATTCTAGTTGCTTTCACTTGAGTTATTGCCACTGTCAGATTGTCAAAGTAAATTTTCTTTACAGTCTTGCTTTGCTAGTGTTCTCCCCCCCACTTTTTTTTTTGGTAATTGGCATTATCTTTCAATTTTTCTTCTTTCACAGTATAAACAAATTGCAAGGTCAAAGATTTGTAGGACTGATGCTCACTGAAGTCAAAACTACTTGTAGCTATGAGGGACAGGATCCTTATCCTACAAGCACATGACATCACGTGATCACCAATATGACATGTTTTTGAAAGAGGCTTCTGGCAGCCTTTTCCTCTACCACCTAACATTGTATGTACTTCTTACGTGTTAAACCCCAGTTAAACTGAATAGCTTGTATTCCCATGATAAGCTATTTTGCACTTTGGTCTTTATTCATATTCTCCTTCTTACCATTAAGAAGTCTTTCCTCTTTGCTCCCTGATAAGTACCAACTTTCATTTAAGATTTAGCTTGGTGAACACTTTGAAGTCCTTCTTGACTACTGACCTCTGTCACTGAGATTTCCAAGATGTAGATCTCTTCTAGAGCCTGTATTTCATTGTTCTTATTTACCTACGTCTTCTTCTTACTATAGATTTCTTAAGGGCAAGTACAAAGACTATGTTTTAAATTCATTTTTATCCCCAATTTCTAGCACAATACCTGGCAAGAGTAGGTGCTTAATGAGCATTTGTGGAATGAATGATTGAATAAGCTCAATAGAGAAGAAAAGGTGATTCTGGCAGTTGGTGTGTTAGTGGTGATAATGTGAATTCCCAAGTGGAGTGCTGCTACACTTTTCAGGGACTATTCAGTGTGGAAAACAGTATCTTTCCCAAGGTCTCACCATAATTATGCTAGTTTCTTGGAGTCAATGTATAATGTGTGTCTGGAATTTTGTTATTTTGAAAAACCAAACATTTATTATCGGAAATTTCCCCACGAAATTTATATAGCTGAATTTTAAAAATAAATATTAGATTTCAGTAATGAGTAGTATAATAGATGTTAAGAACTCTGTTACTTTCCCTAAGGAGATCTTGTGTTATAATCAGTCTAAAGTTGGAAAAAGGACCCTTCTGCTTGAAAATTATGAGGAGTAAATCAAAGGAGGAGTCCATTTGTTATCATATTTAAAGTTCAGTTTACTTTAAAGCTGTGTAATTCTATGTCATGCAGTACTGATGAAAAAGCTTATAATGGCCAGTATTGTCAGAATGGCATATTCGCACATGGTTCAGTAGTTTACATTTTGAAAAACACTCATTTATCACATTACCCCGTTAGTAATGTGTCATGCTATAAGTTGATTTTATATTTTGTCTATTTACTAGGATTGTATTAATTAGAGGTTAAATGTTCTTTGACTATCAGATTATATTATAGTTTTAACTGAGGAATTACTATACAATGAGGATATTAAAAGGAAGCTTAAAGTTACTGTTATTAACTAGGTTCTTTTAAATGACTTTATTTGTTTTAGAATATATAGAAATATACTGAATTAGAACAAATAGCATATTTACTAAATAAATAAAATGGGAAGAGGATGGAGGGGATTGGAAGGAATGAAATTTTTCTTGTTCAAGCTATAAACAGTAAAACTTTAATTTTGTAGGAAGACACTCTATACTATGGTCATTCAACTTGTATACCTATAGCCTATTTTATAGTCAAAAACTTCTAAGTAAATATGTGTGATTTAACTTGTGCTGCTGAGAAACAGTGATCAAAAATGGCAATAAAAGTAACATAACAAAATAAGAATACTAAAAAAAAAAAAAATCTAAGAATTTTACTGTGTTCCATTCCTCATTCAATTTCTGGCAGCCTTCATGATTACAAATCAATTGATTGACTAACTAGACATTCTCAAAGTGAATTATGAATCAGGTTCATTTTTCCTGGTTGGTAGTTGACACATGCTGTAACTCTTTCACTTTGTGATATATCAAATTCATATAACAGTAATAAGAGATATAATCAGCTCTTTATTTCAGGAAAACTAAATTGCCTTTTCAGAAAATGAAATGCAGTTGCTAACATTTTAACAACACAATGTAATTCCTGCCTCCAGGTTTCAGGGTGGAATCCACAGTGATGATGTTATTTTTCAGATTAAAAAAAAAATTCTTTAGAATGATTTTCCAACATGCATAAAACTATTGATATCGGTTCTATAGGCTGCCTGAGCAGTTGCTGAACGTAAGTTGTAAAACAGTTAGGTTTTCTATTCTTATTATTTAAAAAATGCATGATGGAGAAATTATGCATTTTAAAAACGTTTTCCTTTGAAGGAAATGTAGTTTTCCCAAAATAACCTATTTTGCAATGAGGCCATGATGTTGCAAACTTAAAAATGTGGAACATTCTAATGGTTATGAATAGGGAGAGTCCCTTTTCCCTACTAGTTTCTTAGAGTCAGTGTATAATGTGTGTCTATTAATTTTGTGCTTAGTGGTTAAAAATTGCTATTAAACATTTTTTATGGGATTAAAGTCTTATTCATGATTAGGCAATGATTGTATATGTAACCAGTTATTACATTCATTTAAAATTATGATGAAAATATTAATCCTCCAAAGATTTTTTTAAACTATATAGACTACCCTGCTATAATTGAAATTAAGGAATTAGAAATGGAAAGACAAGGCATCAGTTCATTCATTCATTCATTCATTCATTTATTGAGACAGAGTCTCACTCTTGCTGCCCAGGTTGGAGTGCTGTGGCATGGTCTTGGCTCACTGCAACCTCCACCTCCTGGGTTCAAGTGATTCTCCTACCTCAACCTTCTGAGTATCTGTGATTACAGGCCCATTCCACCATGCCCAGCTAATTTTTTAAATTTTATTTTAGTAGAGATGAGGGTCTCACCATGTTGGTCAAGCTGGTCTCAAACTCCCGATCTCAAATGATCTGCTCACTTTGGCCTCCCAAAGTGCTGGAGTTACAGGCGTGAGCCACTGTGCCCAGTCCAATTTATTAATTATAGAAAAAAACTTTAAGTCTTTTATAACTTCAGTAGGTTTTGTGAGAGGACCATAAACTGAACTGGAACTGTAAAATAATGCCATTCTCCCGTCTGACTTGATACTTCCTATTTTTTGACAGAGCTGGACATTTGGAATCTAGAGGCATTGTTGTAATTCTTTAGACATACTGAGGTAAACAGTATATGGTAAAATGGGTTTTTGTTGCTGTGACCAGACCATAAGATGTGGAAATGAAAGAAGAGTAGGGGAAAGGAGGAGACAGAAAATATTTTTTTTGGCTACAGAAATTGACTGAATTAGTTTGATAGTTTGTTTATGTTGATTAAATAGATTGCTAGGGTGTCTCCATTTGTGATGTCAACTGGATGCTTAATTGCTCCCATTGAGCAATTTAGTAATAGGACAGTCATTGAAAGAGGAAATGAAATATCTGGAGATTTCCTTCAGGAAAACTGAAGGAAAATATTTAAGAAGAAATTTCTGGTTTTTACTTTTCTAAGTAAGTGTATAAAGGAGTCAGGATGTCCAGTATCAGTGAAATCTGCCAGACTTATGTTCCACAATTTATACTTTAACCCTTGACACTGATTGTACCTTTTCCCCATTGACATGTGCAAGACAATAACATTTGCATTTTTGTAACATGGTCCAAGTGTCTCATATTACATAAATGTATACTGTATTTCTCGATATCAATATTACATTGGTATTCCTATTCTAGTTCCGTATGTTAACACTGACATTTTCTATTCTGGTGATATAAGCAGGTTTTAAATAGTATCTGGTATATTAATATTTATGGCCCTTTTGGATATTTCTGGTTAAATCCTTCCTTGGCCTGGATTTGATTAGCTCTTTATTTCTCTTGTTTAGGCATATGCTAAAAGTTGGAACTAAAGATTAATAGGTAGGGAGTACAGAATTATGATATCTTTTTATTACATGAACACTAAAATGGCATAAGTGTATTCTGTATGATTCT